TGCGTTGCCTGTGGTTTGCGTTTGGTGGGTCGCGGCTCAGGGCTTCGGGTGTGCAGAGTGATGCAGGGTGCCGAACGGGGATGGAAGGGAGGAAACGAGGAAGGCAGTGTAGCTGGGTGTGGGGGTTCGGCGGTTGGTGAGTCCCAAAAATGGGCCTATGTGTTTGCTAGGATTTTGTCATGACCTTCGGGGGTTAATAGTCATGGGAGAGATTAATGTGTGGTGGTTAGTTTTGTCTCAGGCAGGATGTTGCTGGATTGCGTGCTGGCTCTGAGCTCGTGGGCTCACGAGACCCTCCTGCCTCTGCTTCATGAGCTCTGGGTGGGTGGGCAGGCAGGATCTGGCGGGTCTCAAAGTTTGCTTATTTGTTTGGGGCTTTGCTACTCTACAGATTGAACTCAGGGCCTCAAACATCCTAGTCAGTTTTGTTTGCTCCTTTGGTTTTTGCGCTTCCCTAACTGTACATGTGGGCACATGTGGGCAGTTTTCTCATCTTGCTTGCGGTGCCGGAGATTAAACCCAGGGCCTCGCGTGGGCTAGTAAGGTGCCTCACCGCTGAGCTGTACCCAGCCCTGGAGGTTTTGGGGTGGTGTTTTTTTCCCCGTTTGCAAATACTGTATTTACAAATTCTGTAGATAGCTCTTTTTTTTTTTTCTTCTCAGTACGGGAATCGAACTCATGACCTCATGCTTGCCAGGCAGGCACTGTGCCGCTGAGCTAAATCCCCAGCCCCTAGATAATCTTTTTTTTAAAGTTTTGCTTTTGCTTTTGCTTTTGTAGTACCGAGGATTGAACCCAGGGCCTTTGCATGAATTACAGCCCAGCCTTTTTTTAGTTTGTCACTTCCTCCCGCTCTCTCTGCGATGCTAAATTGCTGGGCTGGGTTTGAACTCTTGGTCCTTCCCTTTCAACCTCCCGAGTAGCTGGGTCAGAAATCCCCAGTTGGCTTGTTGGCAGCTTTTTTTATTCTGCTTCAGTCAGTGCCCTTAGCGTTCAGACCTTTAGTCGAGATTGTCTTAAAGTTTTCTGTTTCTGGGAATTTACCTAGTTTTTTTGTTTAGCCAATTCACTGCCGTGTAGTTGTTCCCAGTAGTGACTTATAAATCTTCTTTCATTTGGGGGGACTATTTTTTTTTTCCTCCTTGAGAAAGGGTCTTGCTGTGTATTCAAGCCTGACCTTGAACTCACTACAATATGTAGCCCAGGCCAGCCTCAAACTCACGGCAGTCCTTCTGCCTCAGCCTCCCAAGTGTTGGGATCACGGTGTTGGGATTAGAGGCATGCACCACCATACTCAGCTTCTTATAAACTGTTTGTATTTCTGTGGAATTGGTAGTAATGTCCTTGTTTTAATTTTCTGAGCTTAGCTAATTCAGTTTACCCCTTTTTACTTAATTATACAGCTAAAGTTTCATTAATCTTTTCAAAGAAGCAACAAGATTTTGGGGGTGGGGGTATGTGGCTCAGTGGTAGAGCACTTGCCTAGCATGCCTAAGGCCTGGGGTTTGATCTCCAGCAACACTCCTCCAAGAAAAAAACAACTTGTGGTTCTATTGGTTTTAGGTAAATTTTTCTGATCTGTTTTTGTGTTTTGTTTTTGAGAAGAGGTCTGAGTGGCCCAGGCCTACCTCAACCTCCCCTTAGCTGGAATTACAGATGCGCATTCTGTGCCTGGTTGTTTTAGTTCTGCTCTGATCTTTATTATATTTTCCTTCCACTAGCTTTGAGTGTAATACCTTTTAATCCCTTAACTTGTAATACAAGGTTGTTGCTTTGAATTTTTAAAAAGTGTGTTTACAACTATAAATGTTTCCTTGGGATTGCTTCATTGCATTTAAGATTTTTGGTTTTATGTTTTTATTTTCATTATCTATTATAATTTTCCTTGGGATTTTTTTTTTGAGTGGTTGTGTAGGGATGCATTGTTTAATTTCCACAAACTTACTGAGCTGTTCAGATTTTTAAAATTAATTTCTAATTTCATCTCATGGTGCTCAGACAGAATACTTAGTATGATTTTTTTTAAGAAAAATCTTGCATTGAAAGCTGGGCTATGACATTAAAAGGACAGTGGATCTAGGTGTGATGGCCTGTGGTTCCAGCCTAGAGTGGCTGAGTTTAGAGGATCACTTGAGCAAAGCAGTATAGCAGATTTCATCTAAAAATAAAGACACTGTTGTTGCATTCAAGGCCCACATATTAGCCAGGCATGGCAGGACACACCTGTAATTCTAGGAGGCTGAAGGGAGAGGATTACAAATTCAAGCAGCAGCTTAGTGACTTAGCAAGACCCTGTCTCAAAATTTTAAAAAGAGGCAGGGGCTCTAGCTCAGTGCAAAATCCCTGGGTTTGATCCCCAGCACCTCCTGGTATATACTAAGTATGCACTCTATCACTGAACTACACCCCCAGCCCAAGTTTATTTTCCATTTTAGTTTTGTTCCCTTAACCTTCAAAATCAATAAGGGGGTTGCATTTTCTCAAGGGATTACTTTTATTTACTTTTGTGCTGGGAATTGAGCCCAGGGCCTCAGATTTGCAGGGCAAGCACCCTACCACTGAGCTGCCTGGGCACCAGCACGCTTTTTTCCCCCTTGACACAGGGTCTCGATATGGACTCCAGGCTGGCCTCAAACTCACTTTTAATTTTCTGAGCGTTCCCACACCATGCTAACATTTTGATCTTTGACCCATTTTTATTTTACTTGAGTACATGGTGAGAAATACAGGTCTAGTTTTAATCTTCTGCATGTGTGTTACCAGTTTTCCGAGCACCCGCCCCCTTTTTTTTTTTTTTTTTTTTTGGTACCAGGAATCGAACTCAGGACCTTGGGCTTGCCGGGCAGGCACTTATGCCGCTGAGCTATATACCCAGCCCCCCAGCACCACTTATTAAAGAAGCAATCTTTCCTCTAGTATGTGCTTGGTTTGGCCCCTTTGTCAAAGATCAGAAGGCTAAATGTGACTGGGGCTGTTTCTGCATCCTCTGTGCTGTTCCATTGATCCACATATCTGTTTTTTAAATCATTGTAGCTTTGTAGTATAACTTGAACCAGATTTTGGTTGAATAATACCCATTGTGCATATATATTCTTCATTTATCTGTTGATGGACTCCTAGGCTGATTCCACATCTTGTCCATTGGGTATAGTGCCATAGTAAACACTAGAGTAGCTGTTTGTTTGGTATGTTAATTTCTTTTTTTTTTAGTATATATACCTAAAAGTGGGGTAACAGCTGGGCATGACTGTTGCTTGTGACCCTAGGAGGCCGTGTGTCCTTTGGGAGTCACCGGCCTGGAAGAAATGACTTGCATTGTGTCTGTCTTTCAGCCACCCTACATCATGCAGCAGCGCTGCTGAGATCATGTCTGTGCTGTTCTTTTACACCATGAGATACAAACAGTCGGACCTAGAGAACCCAGACAATGACCGCTTCATCCTCTCCAAGGTATGTTGGCTGGGCCCTGGGGCTCTGCTGCTTGCTTCTCAAGCCTGCTTTAAAGCCACGCCGGCAACAGGCTGAGAATGGCCTTCTTACCATTTGTGTTCTTTTTTGCATTCTAAAGATCTAAAAGCTGTTGTTGAGAGGCAAGTGACATTTGGGGCAGGGAGGATGGCTGGAGACAGCTGTCCATCTTATCTTTCCTTTCATGGTACCCTACCTCACCCCCACCTAGCACTAACATTGCCTTTGTCGAGGCCATGCTGCCCCCACCCCTTGTGCTGCCTTGGGAGAGGTCGATGATATCGCTCGGCCCCACTTGCAGAACATGCGGAAAGTGAAGCGTGACTTGGAACAGGGCATCCTGCCCCTGTCAGTGAGGTTCTGAACATAAAAAAAAAAGTGGGTCTTAGAATGTGTGGCAGGTTTGATGCTATCTGGAAGTACACTGTCTCCTAAAACAAAAAATTTAAAGCCCACTGGTAGGCTGTCATGTGCAAACAGAAATGCCTGAGCAGGGAAGCTTAAAGATAAAATCGAAAACACCTAGGGGCCAAAACTGATCCGTGTCTTGGTGTCTGAGCTAATGGTTTGATTAAAAAAAAAAAGCATGAGAGGGAGAGGGGTATGTTGGAAGCTATTGGTAACTTGAGGTGAAAGGTATATGGGACTTCAGACTAGTCTTTCTTACTATAAATTTGAAGTTTATAATAAAAATTGAAAAAAAATGATATGTTCAAATACAAATTGGGTATTTTTTTGGTATTTAGATTGTGGTTTAAAAAGGAGAAAGGTTTATTTACAGTGTGTCATAACTGCGGCTATTGGAGTAAAGATGTTTAGGTGACAGGGCCTTTGTCACTTAAAGATGCATGCTCATCAGATGGAGCAGCAGATAAAAGGTGGAAAGAGGCCATTCGCAGGAAGCCCAGTCCCTCATGGCCTGGGGACAGAATAAGTGGTTGCCCTGCAGGCGCCAGTAACCTGGTCTCCCCACCAGTGCTGCTGAGGCCTGGTCTGCCCACAAGCGCACATATCATCAATACATCTGAGGCAGAGTATACTGTGTTAAAGGCCAAGTGCCCTGGCTGTGTTGCAACTGTCATTCTTGAAGTCCTGTGGAGTTGTCATAGTGCTGAAGAGGCTGGGTCAGAGGGGCCTGTGAGCTCCCATTCCTCCCCCAGGCCTGGGAGATAACCCGAGGACTTTGTTTGAACTTAGTTGTGAAGCACACTTCGCATGGGTACAAAGTCAGAAGTACCCTCTTGACAGAAGTGTCCTCTTCTGCCTGACCATAGCACCCACGCTGTACCAAGGGCAGGCATGGTGCCAACCCCACCCCGAGTCTGTTTTCACAGGAGGCACTGGTCTCCATCCTACCACAGAGGGAGGCAGGCATGTGAGGGAGCTGGAGCTGGAGCTGGCACCGGTTAAAGGGGAGGGCAAGGACGATGAGAGGGAGGCTGCTAGGACTTTGGGTAGAAAGGACTTCAGAGGGACGTTGTGCTGAAGGGCATACCTCACTCGCTGCTGGAATGAATCTGACGTTTGAGCAGAGCCGGGGCACAGGAGAGCAAACCCAGAAAGAAAGAGATCATATCTGACAGGCTATGGGGGTGGTGGTTACAAAGAATGGCCCAGAACAAGTGGGAGCTCTGTCCCTATACAGACCCAAGAAGGCCAGGGGTAGAAAGCCGGAGTTGCGGTGGACAGATGGTGGGAAGACCATGGGCAGATGGCAGAGCCGTGCAAGTGGCTTAGAATTGAACAGGCCCCTAGGTGGTAGCCGGGGGAAGCAGGAAGCCAGTGGCCTCTGCGGTAGAGGCTGTGGATGTTGGTAGCCAATATGAGATGGTGGCTATAGAAGCCCTTAAAATAAACTGCATAGCTGGCATCTCTCATCAGAACAGCAACCCTCAGCACAAGGGCCACGTTTCTCATGGTGACCAAAGTGACATGGAGCTTGCAAGCTGGACGTTAGCAGAGGGGCACAGGGAAGTGACAGAAACTGGTCCCTGTACAGTGTCGGATGTCAGGGAGCCCCTCCTGAGAGCTCAGTTGACCTGAGCTTGACAAAGTGGGGAACCCACGGACTTGAGGGTTTTGGGTTTCTTCTTAACCTGTAGTCACCAAAAGATTGTACATCTGGTTTGGGCCTGCTGGAAAAAGGCTTGAGACAAAGCTTTGCGTGTGTTCCTTTGCACCTAGGCTCCCTCCTGTTTCCAAAGCTCCCAGTGCCCTCACACATTGGGTTTTGGGATTACCTAGGGAATGGACAGTGGTGACTTCTTCATCTTCGTCACCCCAGTTTCCAGCCTGGACTGGGCGATAGACTGACCTAGGGTCTGCTTAGAACATTGGTCTGGGACTTGAGGGACATGTGGGTGCAAGGGGCCGCAGGGCCCGTCTACACTTAGCTTGAGTTCATTGCATCCCTTGTATCTTGCAGAGACTGTCATTTGTTGACGTGGCCACAGGATGGCTCGGGCAAGGCCTGGGGGCCTCATGTGGGATGGCATATACTGGCAAGTACTTCGACCGGGCCAGGTAAGGTGCTGAACTGCCCACCCCTGCTCTCTGGCTCTGCATCTTGCTCGTTGGGGAGGATGGGAGGATGGTTTGGGAAATTTGGTCACCAAGCATGAAGCAGTAGAAAAAGCAGGTTTGCAGAAACTCCTCCCGATTCTCTGTTAGAGGTTCTAGTGTAGCAGAACACAAGGCTTCTCTAAGAGACGGCTTTCCGCCTGCACTCTGGTATGCGTGGCTAGGGAAGGGCTGCATGCATGTGCTTGTCTTTGGAGTAAGGGCTCTGATATGTTAAGAGCCGAGGGGTTTTTCTGGGTGATTCCTCCTTTCTAAAAGCAGACAGTGTTCCTTTTGGGCCTTGTGCTCAGCAGCTGCTGGTGCGGGAGCAAGACCATGGTAACCTTCCTGGTCTTGCCCCGTGAGTGCCAGCTACCCTCTCTTGCATGCGGTGCCAAGTCTAGAGCTCCTCAGTTCAGTTTCCCTAGGACACGGAGCTCCTTTCTCCTAGGGTCTCAGAGGAGCATCATCTAGCTCCTTGGGGTGGGAAGAGCCCTGAAGGGTAAGTCCCTATGCCAGCTGTGGCAACCTCGCTGAAAGTTCCTGTGTTTCTTGCACTCCTTGATTGGCCACCCTGCCCCCTTTTCCACAGACCTGTGGAAACAGTGCATCTGTGGCTCTCTCAGTTTTTATCTAATTCTTTCTTAGACTGGCAGCATCGTAGTAAGGTCTGGGGTACATTTTATTGGTGCCGATACTCATGTTGTTTCTGCTGTGAAGGAGTTTCTTGTTTAAAACAGAACATGCTTCTAAGGTAGAATGTTGGATGGTTATGATTATTGTAAACAGAGATCAGAAATATAAGGTAGCAGTGCTTTGAAGCACGGGAAAACCAAGGCAATACATGTGCCATGAAGCGCGGGACTCCAGGGAGCTGCCCGTTCCTATCTTGCCCCACCGCTTGCTCATTTGGAGAGGCAGCTGAAGCTGCGGGGAGAAAACTAGTGGACTAGCGGAGGGGAAAGCCATCTCCTGAGGCCCAGGCTGGGCTCAAACTGATCCTGCTGCCTTAGCCTCTCATGTGGCTGGCACTACAGGCATGATCCACCATGCCCAACGCGGCTGAACTCTCAAAGCTTCCTGGTTTCCTCAGTGGCTGAGCTTAGGCAGAGCTAATGAGGAAAGTAGAGTTAGGGACCTGCTGATCTGAAGCAGCATCTGCAGTCCATCCCGTGGTTTCTTCCTGAGATGTATGTGCTCATGGGGCGCCTCACCTTTTCTTGGCTTGCCTCAGCTACCGGGTGTTCTGCCTCCTGGGAGATGGCGAGTCCTCAGAAGGCTCTGTGTGGGAGGCGCTGGCCTTTGCGGCCTACTACAGTCTGGATAACCTCGTGGCGATTTTTGACGTGAACCGCCTGGGGCACGGTGGCAGCTTCCCTCTGGAGCACTACGTCGAGGTCTATCAGAAGCGCTGTGAAGCCTTCGGGTAAGTGTCTCTATTGCTTTACCTTCTTCCCGCCCTGCCCTGTGCCCAGGTAACCCAGCCTCCTTGTTGGCAGGTGGAACACTTACGTGGTGGATGGTCGTGACGTGGAGGCGCTGTGCCAGGTGTTTTGGCAGGCAGCTCATGTAAAGGGCAAGCCCACTGCTGTGGTGGCCAAGACCTTCAAAGGCCGAGGCATGCCAAGTAAGTGTTTCCTTCTCACCACCCATGTGTACCCAGGCATCCATCAGCATGGCTGAACAAGGCAGTCTTTGGGTTTGGCTGGCCAGGTAGGTAGTGTACTTGGTGAGCAGCAGCCCTCCTGACAGGTGAGGGCTTCTCTCGCCTTCCCTGGGTAGTGTCTGGTCGTGGAGGAAGGGAAGGCCACACCCCAAGCAAGAAAACAGTGACTCCCTGGTGGTGTGAGGGAGCAGTTAGGGGCGCGGGCATCAGGTAGAGAGCCAACAGGAATCTCCCCTCTGGGTGTCAGCAGACATGTGCATGAGGGTGTACGTATACACTGCTGGAATAGGCCAGTGCCATCTGGAACATCGTCCAGGACTAGTAAAGCATTGTCTTTGGGACTTCGAAGGAGGAGGTATTTAGCACTTAACTTCCTGCACTTCCAAAGCTGTCTCAGGTTGTTCACCTCAAGTTTAAATGCTTGCAAAGGGTATGACTCCTGGATTAGTTTGATTTGGTTTGTCTTTTGGAGACAGGGTCTCACTATGTAATTCAGGTTGGCCTTGAAATCGTGGCTACCCACCTTCCTTAGCATCCCAAGTGCTGGGATTATAGGCATGTGCCAGCACAACTGACTCCTGGATTTTTAATATAATGTAGATGTTTCAGCTCCTCTCTAAATTATGATCTTATCTCTATCCCAGTCACAGTTCAGTAAAACAACTTTACCAATGTGTTCCTAGGAGAACCCTCAATGTTCTTGCCTCTGGCCCTCCCTGATGTGCCTACCAACCCCACATTCCAGTTCCTTTAAGTATAGTCAGATGTGTCCCCTTCTCCCCATCTCTACTGCCATGACTGTCACCAAGCCCATCACCTCTCGTAAACTGCACTGACTTCCTTCTGAGCCTATCTCCACGCTGCCATTGCAGTGATCTCTCTATAAGACATCTCATCATTCACTTCCCTGCGGTAAGCCCTTCAGTGGCTTCTCTTGCTCCAAATAAAACTCATATCCTCATCATGTTCGTGAGCTCTGTTTCCGTGTCTCCCCTGCCTGTCAGTACAGCATCATCTCCCTCATTCTTCTCTCTATAGTCACCAGCATGTTGACCAGTGGCCTCCTGAGAAGCCACTAGGCCTCAGTCCAGGCCACTCGCTGAGACTGCCCTCTGTGCCAGCTTCTTATTCTTGTAAGCCCCAGACCGACACCTTTTGCAGCAAGATGTTTCTCAGAGGACCTAATAGGCTCCCATTAAAGGGTTGAAATGGATGCCTTTTTTTTTTTGCATTTTGTTTCAGACGTGGAAGATTCAGAAAGTTGGCATGGAAAGCCAATGCCACAAGAGCGAGCAGATGCAATTATCAAATTAATTGAGAGCCAGATACAGACTAACAGAAGTCTTACACCACAACCCCCCATTGAAGACTCACCTCAAGTCAACATCGAGGATATAAAAATGACCATTCCTCCTGCTTATGAAGTTGGCGACATGGTAAGCAAAAACATAGGTAATTGACTAAGTCATGCACATCAGCATGCTTTGTGATTGGCTTCCTAAATACATGGGATTCTTTATTTTTCCTGATCTCTGTAAATAAACTAGTTATTAGTGTGACTTCAGGGTCTTGCTATATTGTTCAGGTTGGCTTTGAACTCACTATGTAGCCCAGGCTGACCTTGAATTCACAGCAACCCTCCTGTCTCAGTCTCCTGAGTGCTGGGGTTATGGGCGTATGCCACTGTGCCCAGCAACAGTGTGACATTTGTACAGTGGTTATCAGCAGTAAAAATGGGTTTACCTTGTCTTACTATCTGATCTTTCTTTGCATTCACACTGGTGTGAGTTTGTTTTGCTCTGTTTTGTGACAAAATCTTGCTATGTAATTCAGGCTGGCCTTGGATTCATGTTTTTTCTGCCTCAGCCTCCCTGATGCTGAGATTACAGGCATGTGCCACCCCTGCATTTTCTCATTGGTAATTGGTATTTGTTAACACCTTGTGCTATGTGCCTATTTCTTGATTCCTGACTTTGCTTTGTGGTGCCCTGATTGGTCTAGCGTGCACGAAACTGCCACTACTCTGTGTCTACTCTTAAGAAAGAAAGTGTGGGTCGGCTGACTTTTTTTTTAACGTCCTCTCTGGATTATGCAAGGAAGTAGCCCCCACCTAGAAAAAGCCAGTTGCTTTAAAACGAATCACATGGCTGGGTGTGGTGGCACATGCCTGTAATCTCAGCTACTCAGGAAGTTGAGGCAGGAGGATGGAAAGTTTGGGCCCAACAACCTTGTGTCACAGAAGGCCTGGAGATGTATCTCAGTGTGAAGACCATGGGTTCAATCCCCAGAACCAACCACAAAGAAAATAATTAGTATGCTGTCTGGATGGGACAGAGAGAAAAAATTTAGTTGAGGCAAATGTTTCAAATCAAATGCTATCGGGGACATAGCTCAGTGGCATAAGCACTTGCCTGGCAAGCCTCAGGTCATGAGTTCGATTCCTGGTATGGAAAAAAAAAAAAAAGGAAAGTTTTGGGGGCCAGGGATATAGCTCAGTGGCATAAGCACCTGCCTGGCAAGTGCAAGGTCCTGAGTTTGATTCCTGGTACTAAAAAAAATATATATCAAATAACATGCTATCTATGAATTTTAGACAGTAGATCAATGAGTGTAGCAAAGTTCCTTGAGAAATACAATGAGAACTGCTAATGTCCGAAATCTGTTGAGTTGTGCAGTGGTTTTCGTGCTTGGGAAGTGGGACTTAGGAGTACGGGAACTGAAAAAAGCACAATTTGAGAAAATGAGTACCACGTTACCCATGTATGAGACAGTTTTGAGAAATTGATCCTAAGCCTTTGTACAGTTTTATAATTGGCTTGCAATCCATGCTGCTCGCAATGATGCTAAGGAAGATTACTGGTAAACGATAAATTTAATTTCTTCAAGATGGCTAACATATCTTCCAAGTGCATTCCAAGAAACTGCCATTTGACCTTTTCAGATGGCTACTCGCAAAGCATGTGGTCTGGCTCTGGCTAAGCTGGGCTACTCGAATGACAGAGTTGTCGTGCTGGATAGTGACACCAAGAACTATACCTTCTCCGAGATATTCAAGAAGGAGCATCCTGAGCGGTTCATTGAGTGCTTTGTTGCTGAACAAAACATGGTGAGTGTGTGGGGGACGAGGGGTGTCTTCTTGGTGACCACCAGGATCCATGCAACCCAGAAGCCCACCTGCATGGCAGTGTTTACTTCCCGAGGCCTCCAGATGAACAGGTGAGGAGCCAGATGCAGGGTGGTGGCTTTCAGGTTTGCTGGCCGCAAGGGCGTGGTAGGTGACCCCTGGAGCCCCGTCCAGGGAGCAGCAGGTTAGAGGCTCTTGAGTGCCCAGCCCAGCCCACAGCTAGAGTCCTACAGCCACAGGAACGATGCTTCTCCCTCCCCACTGGGGCACAGGGCCTGACGCAGATAAGCATCTGTTACACTAAGTGGCCCCTCGAGAATTTGAATAGTTAGAAGCCAAGCATGGCGGTGCACTCCCATGATCCCTGCTATTCAGCATTGCAAGTTAAAGGTGGCCTGGGCAATTTAGTGAGACCCTTGTGTCTCAAAATAAAAAATGAAAAGAACTGGGGTTCTAGCTTAGTGGTCAAGCATCCCTGGGTCTCAGTAAGCTGTCTCACCGGTTATTTTGAATGAAATAAAATTCAGTCCATAAGTTTGTGGCTGGGCTCTCCTCTCAGAAAGCTTGCTTCTACCTCATTAGTCCTCCAGCTCGCAGCCATGTGCTGTGCATGCTGGTACTGGAAGGAACCAGTACAGAAGATGCCAGCAGGTGGTGTGGAGCTGGAGGTGGCTGTGGGAAAAGCTAGGGGTGGGCAGGGACAGCTGGTCAGGAGAGTGATGTCCAGGCTGAGCCTCTAGGGACTCACTTGTGCATAGACCCGGGCAGGCAGTAGTGCTCCCAGTGGAGGCCTGGCAAGCCTGGTGCTTAGGGAGTGGAGGGAAGGAAGGCAGACACAAGGTGAAAACAACATTTTCAGGGACGGAGTCACAGCTTCCCAGCTCTCCAGCAGTTTGCTGGCCATCCACAGGAGGGCAGGAGGGCTTCGAGCAGAACCTGCCCTGAGAACCATGCAGTGCTTAGCAAGGTGAAGCAGGAGGATGGGCCAGTCACTGTAGGCCGCATCAGAGGACAGGAGCCCGAAGCAAGCCTGGGGCCAGGTATCGCCCAGCGAGCACCAGCACTGAGTGGTGTGGCGTGGACAAGCCTGGCGAGGAATGGACTCAGTGGGTACCATCAGGAGCTCTGGGGCCAGGGGCAGACAGTGGTGTCTCGATGTTTGCTCCCAAACCACTAAGTGCCCTTTTCTACGCTGCATATCCCTTTGCCAGATTTTCAAGTTAACATCCGAGCTTTTTAGTGAGGCATAGTCTCACTGTGTTGCTCAGGCCGACTTGAACTGGCTCAAATGATTCTCCTGCCTGAGCCTCCTGAATAGCTGGGACCACAAGCCCACACTACGTGCCCGGCCTAACACCTGAATTTTTAATCACAAATTCAAAGTTTTGATATTTTAAATTAATAAATCCTCCAAAAGTGACTATAAGTTACCTTTCCTTTATCAGAAATTAAACTACTTGAGTTATTTCTATTCCATTTCCCCAATATGTATGAAAGTTTTTTTATTGATTTTCCTGTCCTTCTTTACAATAAAAATATGCATATAAACTGATAACACTTTAAATTTTTCTTAAAACCATAGACCTCTGAGCATTAGAATTTTTCATTGGGATTGGGCCATGGTTATTAGTTTACATACATCAGTAGATAAGTCCATTTGTAATTTCAGTGAGGTAAGATTGAGAACAAATTCTATTCTTGTTTTTCGTTTTAATGACATAAGTACTGAGAAATCTTACATAAATAAATACATGGGAATGGAAGTTCTGTGTTACAGGAATGTCATTTAATTCCTTGAATTCTTTCCCCATTACAAGCCAGAAATCACACAACGATCTTTCATTTAAAGTTGTTTGTAGCCAGATTTAGTGGCACATGCCTGTAGTCCCAGCTACTTGGAAGACAGAGACAGGATTGTGATTTCAAGGCTGTCCTGGGCAACTTAGAGACTTCGTCTCAACAGAAAAAGTGATTTGTAAAAATTAAGTCAATAGTTTTACTAGCTTTTCTTTGGGTTTTGCTAAAAGAAGTGGAAGCCACCTGGCTTGGGGAAAGGCTTATCATCCGATCGGTTCGGTCGTTCACTTGCTCAGTGGTACATGATCATTTCCAGCTGTGGGCTTCAGTTCGAGCTGGAGGTTTGCACTCCAGACCAGCAGCCCCTGGAAGATGCAGGTGGGCGTGGGCAGACTGCTGGAAGGGCTTGACAGGGAGATGGAGGGCAAGGCAGCCCCAGGCCCCTCTCTGTAGGTGAGTGTAGGAACCGGCTGCTACCCGGTGAGGGTCTTCTTGGCTTTGCAGCCAGCTACAAGCACACCCTCTGGAAAGGCCTTGTTTACTCCCAGAGAGGTTTGTTCATACCTAGTTTAAAGGCTGCTCTGGGGTCTCTGGGGAAGGAAGGAATGTCCATGAATCTTCTTAGTGACCACTGAGAAGGAAGGGATGATGACACCAGAAAGTAGGGGTCATATGAGGGTCAGGGCAGTTTCGGGCCAGGTATGGCTTCCCAGACCCTGAGGCATGGTATCCAGCTGCCTATGGCACAGGCCGCCTTGCAGCAAACCCAGGAGGCTACAGGATGTGCCTTGAAAGGAGAGGGACTTATGCTGGGTGCTCCTGAGAAACCAAGGGAGACGCTGAAAACCCAGGCCAGGGGACACTCCAGCACGGGGGCAGATAACTGTACATGGAATAGGCTCAGAGAGAGTGGGGCAGGGATTGGTGGCATGTGAGAAGTCCCCTGCAGGAGAGCACAGATGTGAGGCAGTCCCCACGACTGGGAGACACGAGAGGGTTAAGAAGGCACTAGTATGTGTGAGTAGAGCCAGGGTGATCCCAGAGAAGGGGAGACTGACACAGTGGGGGGGGTCATTGCGCAGCTGGTGACCTTATCAGGGATTCAAGGGAAGGACGGAAGTCGGGATTACCAGTGACGTGGGAGTCCCGGGTGGGTAGGGACAGAGTGGATGGGAGACGCCCATGCCCTAGCAAGTGCGAGGCGAGGGCACCATAGTGGGGAGGAAGGTTCTAGGAGCAGAGGAATAAGAACGGCCAAGACTGCTGAGCACTCGAGTGAGCAGAGTGTAGGGGTCATCGTGGGGCTGTGCCACGCCACTGGGGGCCAGAGAGGTTCTGACTGGTGTTCTTTGTGTTGCAGGTGAGCGTGGCACTGGGCTGTGCCATGCGTGGCCGAACTGTTGCTTTTGCCAGCACCTTTGCCGCCTATTTGAGCCGGGCATACGATCAGATCCGTGTGGGTGCCATCTGTGGGATCAACCTCCGAATCATCGGCTCCCACTGTGGGGTGTCCGTGGGTATGAGTTGGGAGTGTGTCGACTCAGTAGCTCATGTCCCACCAGTTGCAGGAGAAGGTGCATGTGTCGTAGCTCTCAGGGTCCCCTCTCAAGTGGGACTTCCTGCAATGCCTTTGTAGAAAGCCATGTCCTGTTTGAAATGCTTAAGATGCCCTGGGTAACCTTTTTTGTCTGTTGAGGTTGTGTGAAAGAGTGGCCACTCAACTCTTAGAGAGACCGTTGTCCTGAGCCCCACATGCTGGATGTGAGTAGGGATGACACAGTCCCAGCATGCATTTCCACCCTGTGTGCAGCGGCAGTCTGACTGGGATTAGCGGCCAGGCAGAGCAGGCTGGGGGACATACGGTACCAGGAGCAGTGACATGCTAGGGAGGGCTGGGAGGACAAAGGAAGACCGAAGAGTGAGCAGAGGAGCTTGGAGGAGGAGGAAGTATGGCTAGCAGATGGAGGGCTCAGAGCTACGTGCCAAGTAAGTCTCCAGGCCCTCTCACTGGGGAGAGGGGAGGGAGCCCTGTCGTGAGGTGGAAAGCTGAGCCAGCTGGTGTGCTTGTGTGGGATGGGCCACCTCAGTACATGGTGGCTGGCGTTTGCTGCTACAGCGCGGGGGCCGCCCACTGGGGTGCTGTCTGCATGGCGCTGGGAGAGTGAGACTGGACAACAGGGTTTCGGGTAGAGCTGGGGTCACAGCCAGATGGGTGATGCCGAAGGCCCAGGGAGAATTTCAGGGAGCCAGGGCAGCTGAGAGACAGCTGCATGTCAGGCCGGGAAGGCAAGCAGGCAAGAATCCTTGGTATCAGCCACGGGGAGCGGTGACTGTAGGTGGAGCCGAGGCAGTGTGTTTGGCGACGACCCCCCACCCCACTGCAGTGCACTGTATTTACCCCTTCCACAGCGCTATGGCTGGAACGTCTCTCCCCATGCGAAGGGATCCTTTGTCAAAACAGCAGCCCCTCAGGTGTCCCAGAGTTGCGTGATGCTCAGCTATGACAGCCAGCAAAGTGAGCCAGATACCTCCACTCAAAAATGCCCAGTGTCTCACCAGGCAGACATGTGCCTGTGACCCCAGCTACTCTGGAGGCTGAGGCAGGAGGGTTGCAAGTTCAAGGCCATCCTGGGCAATTTAGCAAGACCCTGTCTCAAAATTAAAGATGAAAAAGGGGTAGGGATACAGCTCAGTGGGAGAGCACCACTGGGTTCTATACCCAGTGCCCCCAAATGAAAAAAGTGTCTTGAGGGAGAGTGGTGGAAGAGCAGAGAGGGAAAGACAGAGCCTGAGGGGGAATTCTGTTGTGAAGAGGACAAGGTCAGAGGCCTGGCACAGCTGGTGGCAGGCTCAGTCCACTATGGCTCGAGGCAGAAGGCAGTGTGAAGTCTGCCTGGACAGACACTGGGCTGTAAAGGTCTGATCCAGGGTGGCTGCCACAGCTCAGTTCAGGCACTTCCCCAGAGACAGTGAGGAGCAGCGGAAGGGAGGTTCCAGGGAGCCACACTCACCTTCTTATTGGCCTGTGGCTGTCACAGGGGAAGACGGACCCACCCAGATGGCCCTGGAGGACCTGGCCATGTTCCGCGCCCTCCCCAGCTGCACCATTTTCTACCCCAGTGATGCTGTCTCCACTGAGCACGCTGTTTATCTGGCAGCCAATACCAAGGTATGTTTAGGGGACACTGGTTTAGACATAGAATGTTTCTCAGCTCTGCTACATTTGCTGCTGATTGGCTTCTCCCCCTGTGTTTTAGCATATTCATTATAGGAAACCCAGTGGTGGATTCTTGGTTTTGTTTTTGCTTTCTGGTAGCAGGGATCAGGCTACATCCCCAGCCCTTTTTGAGGCCAGAGTCTCACTAAGTTACCCGGGCAGGTCTTGAACTTCTGATCGTCCTCCCTCAGCCTCCCAGAGTGCTAGGATTGCAGACAAGTATCAGGATTCTGAAGAGAATGTAACCTTTACAGCACAGGTGATTGTGCACATGAACAACGCACTGGCATTGTGGAAGTCAAATGGTGAAAACGGGTGCTGAACTAGGCCCGGCCCCTCTCAGTCAGGACTCAGGGCAAGACAGTGCCCTGGGTGTCTCCACAGGAGGAAAGGGCACCTGTGAAGTCACAGGAGCAGGCTCCACACTGAGACCCAAACCCTAAAGGATCGGCCAGTGGCGCTGCCACTTCTGAGCCCACCCTGGGACTGTGGCATTGAAGACCCACCTTTGCCAAGTGCAGCGGTACACGCCTGTACGCACCACTACTCGGGTGCCGACAGTGGGTGGATTGCCTAAGCCCAGGAGTAGCAATATAGTGAGATCCTGTCACTTCCCCAAAAGAAAACAGCACCCCAGTGACTATAGCCACTGCAGGCACACCTCCTAAAATCCTGACCATGTGAGAGTGGGTGACAGGGAGTGCTGCACACAAACCGTAGCTCCCCAAACGGCTCAGAGGGGCAAGAGGCTGAGCCAGGTGGAGGGCCTCGGGAACACCGGCTCCTCCCTGGCCTGTGCTCTGTGCCCTCTCACCACCACGCTCTGCTTGCCTTTTGCTTCTTAGGTCTCATATGGGCTGGGTTTATGGCACTGGGATGGAGCCCAGAGCCTTGCTGTGCTAGGCAGTTGCTCTACCCCTGAGCCACACTCATCCCCTACTGGCCACATCTGGAAAATTGTTTCCTGTCATCCACACCTTGAAGGGTCATGAGAGGCAGAACAAGACTGTGCTAGAGTAGAGGTCACTTCCTGGGGTGTAGAGGCCTGGAAAGAGGCACCAGCTGGAAACGCAGGCCAGTGGCCATCCCGTTGGGACCCGGGTAGGGACACATAACATGCACCCTCACTGGGATGGGACTCAGCTGCAACACTTAGCAGAGGGTGCATTTCCTGTGCCTCAGGCCGGCTCCTCACATGGGAGTGAGCAGAAGCACTTTCCTGATTGACACTTTAGTTTCCATCGTTGGCGTATTCGTGTCACTTATGTTAACTGTTCCTAACTGTAGACGTGTGTGAGTTGGTAGTAATTCCAAAAGGGGGTCCTTTCATGTCCGGATGAGTAGCCAGTTTCTAAAGAGAAAGCTGTCTTGTGGCGAAGATGACTCTTACGCTGCATTTTGGATGTCTTCATTCACAGGGGTCAGCGCCCCTGCCCTTCATTTAGGCTCTGTGGACACAGAGGCGGCAGTGCGTGTGGGAAGCTGGCTGTCCACTGTCCTGCTAGGCTTTGCTCTGGTACTCAGGCTTCCTCTCCCCAGAGGCTGATGCTTTTTTTGTTTTGTTTTGTTTTTTGTTTTTTTTTTTTTTTTTGAGACAGGGTCTTGTTATGCAGTTCATACTGGCCTTGAGCTAATTTTGTAGCCCAGGCTGGTCTTGAACTTACAACAATCCTCCTGCCTCAGCCTCCCGAGTGCTGGGATTATAGGTGTGCGCCACCACACCCAGCCACTGATGCTTTATTAATTGGAAGTTCACTTGCTGCTTTTCTAAAGGCCTGTTCTGATTTGCATTTCTGCCCTAGGGAATATGCTACATCAGGACCAGCCAACCAGAAACTGAAGTTATTTACACCCCACAAGAGACCTTCAAGATCGGACAGGCCAAGGTAGGGGTGGCTGTTGCTGTCTGTTATTCATGCTAAATCTCACCCTAGGCACCCCCAGTCGACACATCATCCTTTCTTGGTTCTTTTAAAAAATCAATTGTGACCTCCTGCTTTTCCCCAGGAATATTCCAATAATTTCAGCTTGATCTGCACTTTTCTCCTTTGCAAATAGTGTCTTTTGGACAATTTATTCTGAGACAGGGTTTCACTGAGTTGCAGGCTGGCCTCTAACTTGCAGTCCTCCTACACTAGCGTGTCCCTCCCAGCGGGGATTACAGGCATGTACCACTGTGCCCGGCTTTTATAATAATAATGTGAGGGCCCTGGGGCCTCTTGGCTGTAATTAATCTCAACCTCAAGTTAACAAAATAATGGAAAGCGGTCCACATGAAGGACAGATCAGTTGGGTTGAGAGTCTGCAGATCTAAGGTGGGGTGGAAAAGAACAGGGAGCATTGTGCCCACACGCCTGCTGATGAAAGGCTGGCACCCAGCCCAGGACCCTGGCCCTTGACCACCCTGTCCCTCGACCACCCTGTCCCTCCTGCTGTGCCTCCCCGTGCAGCCTGAGAAGTCAGTGGAAAAGGTTCGTGATGCTGCTCACCACGCAGAGAGGTTTTCCTCTTGCCTTTGCCTTCGAGAGGACAAGTTCTGTGCCTGCTTTGATAGTATCTTATGTGCAGTTGAAAGCACCCTTGGTACTCTTCTTAACTGTGCGACACACTTACTGCAGTACACTTTTTTTTTTTTTGCGGTACCGGGAATCGAACTCATGACCTTGTACTTGCCAGGCAGGCATTTACCCCACTGAGCTAGATCCCCAGCCCATGCAGTACACTCTGGAAGGATCCACAGGGAACCTCCGCCTTGCTCCCCAGGGGCTGGGCTGCTGCAGAGTCACAGCTCTGTACTCGGGACAGCCGCGTCCTGGCTGCAAGGGGCTGGAGTGCAGCAGAAAGCACTGCTGAAGGGAGCACGGTGGTGCTTTCCTCCATGTGAAGTCCAGGTTCTGTGTGCTCTGTGCCCCGCCTAAACCCAAAGCCACACGGGGCAGCTGTCCCAACACTTGCATGGTTTGCACGGCTTTCCCATTTCTTTGGTCTATTTTTGCAATACTTAGGCTTGAAGCCTGGGCCTTTGCATGAGCTACATCCTCTCCTCTCTTTATTTTTTAGTTTGAGACAGGGTCTCAGTTGCCCCAGCTGAGCTCAACCTTGCAATCCTCCCTCAGCCTCCCAGAGTGCTGGGATTACAGGTGTGCACCGTCACACCTAGCTTTGTTTCTTTCCTAAAACTTTTTGGTCCTGAAAGAAGAAATAAAATTTCCCACTGGTAAAGAATGTGAGTTAAAGCGTGTGCACTACACACATGGCATAGTAACTGTGAAGGGCTGGGCTTGACAGAGGGGACACAGATGTGTGTGTCTGTATATGTGCACACACCTCCATATGTAGATTTTGCAGCACTGGCAGCTGGAAGCCAGGCCTTGTGCACACTGGACCATTAAAGGGTCATTGTTTTTTGGAGGGGGAGGGCCAGGTATCGCTGACCGTGAGCTCACTTTGTAGCCCAGGCTGGTCTCGAACTCACAGTGATCCTCCTGCCTCAGCCTCCCGAGCACTGGGATTACAGGCATGCACGACCACGCCCAGCTGAAGGGTCATTGTTTCTTGGACGGGAAAGGCTGGGTCTTGCTATGTAGTTCAGGCTGGCCTTGAACTCCAGGTGATCCTCCTGCCTCAGCCTCCCAAGTGCTGGCATTATAGGAGTGCACCAACATGCCTGGCTCAGGATTTTAAAAGTATCTTAGCTGCCTGTTAATGAGTAGACTATTATGGAATGAGATTGCTAGGGTCGGGGAGTAGTAGGTAGCAGAGTGCCCTCCACTTTGAGATGGAACCACAGCATTCTGTTCTGTTTTTGCTGCACCAGGTCATACGCTACAGTGATAAGGACAAAGTCACCATTGTTGCAGCTGGGGTGACTCTGCATGAAGCCTTAATGGCTGCTGATGAGCTCTGCCGCCAAGGTCAGTGCATCGTGTTGTGCATGGCGAGTGACTCCAGGAGTGGGAGACCTGTCCCCGACGGGCTTCCATTCCTTGTCTGTGGGTCTTTCTATGTGGGTGGTGTGGGTGCCACTGAGCCCACTGTTTTTCCTGAGTCTGTCTCACATCCCTCATCTGCTCTGCAGACATCTCTGTCCGCATCATCGACCTATTCACCATTAAGCCCCTGGACACTGCCACCATCATCTCCAGTGCGAAAGCCACTGGTGGCCGGATCATCACGGTGGAGGATCACTATCCGGAAGGTAGATGCGGGCGTCGGGAGCGGGTCAGGCTGGGGGCCATCCGCCTGTGCTGGTTCCACTTGCAGTGCCGCCATCGGGGCAGAGGCGTGTGGCTTAGCAGGAGTGCTCATGCAGTCCTCGAAGTCCCTCCAGCTGCTTCTGCGGGCCATCCACTACCCCGAGGGAGTGCCTTTCAGGCAGAGTGTGCCGGGAGGGCGGGCACCTGAGGGGTTGGGCCACAAGCCAGCGCTGGTACAGGGGCCCAGGGAGACCGGAGAACCCCACGGAGGACACTGCTGCCATGCGGTCATCCCTGCTGTCTACCAGGCGGGTCAAGTGTGCAGTTGAGGACAGTGAGCACCTGTCCGCCACCCCATCTCACACGGTGCCCATGTTGGTTTTACTGGTTTTTAGGTGCCCAGCATCAGGGGGAGCGCAGCCCCTGCTTGGCTGCAGAAGGGGGCGGGTTAGGGCCAGAGGAAGGGGACATACTTCCCCGGGTGGGCAGTTCCAGCTCCGATAGCCAGAATGGATCCCAATGTCCCTCGCTTCCCTCCGCAGGTGGTGTTGGGGAAGCGGTGTGTGCTGCCGTCTCCTCAGAGCCTGATATCGTGGTCCGTCAGCTGGCGGCGCCAGTGATGGGCGTGCCCCGGAGTGGCAGGCCTGGCGAGATGCTGAGTATGTTCGGCATCAGCGCCAGACACATCGTGGTGGCTGTGAAGCGCATGCTGACACAGTGACACCCCCACCCGGCCCCGAGTCAGGCTCAACTCAGTTCTTCCCTCCGATGTCCCAGTTCAGTCCTCCCTCCTCCCTTTGAACAGAACTGTTAAGCCCCGTTGCAAATGTTCGTTTTCTAAGCAACCAATAAAGTTACTGCATCAATACCTGGCAGTCAGTTTCTGATGAGACCAGAGGGGCAGGTTGAGGGTCCGTGTGGAAGCCCAGTCCTTAGATGACACGTTGTCTTCACGGCGAGTGCAGCCTTCCTATCTGACCCCCTGGGTGGTGCGTGGCTTCGGAGTGTCCCTGAGCTCTGCTGTTGGGGTGACCCCGTGCTGCCCGCAGCCGTGTCCTGTAGCGTCACAGGGAGGGCCAGCCAGCCTGTGCTCTTCAGGCCCCTGCGCGGGAGAGTGCCAGGCACGGGAACCCAGGAAGGGGGCACCCCACGTGCTGTGGGCCAGGCGGGGCCTGGGGCCTTGGGCCTGCCTCAGGCCTTCTCCCCGGTGGAGTTGGGGGCTGGCACAAGTCCAAAATGTCTCCTCGGATGCGTTGATACTGGGTGATGCTAGAAGGCCCCGGGCCGCACAGCTCCCTGTCTTCAGGTGCTGACAGTGAGTTCCTCACACTCGCAGGGGGCACACGCAGGAGCATGGCCGCCGTACAGCCACTTTAGCACACTAGCACCTGTCCTCCCCGCCTCTGGCCACCTCTGACCTGTGTCCTGTTGACAGGTGTCCTGCTGGGGGTGTTCTGTAAGAATGACATCACAGCACGTGCTCCTCTGGCTCCTTTCACTGAGCTTGGTGTTCGGGCTTCGTCCCTGTAGCCTACGTCAGAATTGCACGTTTCCTGGCCGTGTCCTATGCCGTGACTAGCTAGTCTGCGTTGTACTTACCTGTCCATCTCTTGGTTCCATTCTGTCTGTTGTGAATAATGCTGTGCTGAACACTGACTACTCCATATTTGCCTGTGGACAGAGCCTGACGTCTGCTCAGGGCCCTGGCTGGGAGTAGAGCGGCAGTGTATGGTCATCGGAGTGTGCCCTTTGGCGTGTGTGAGGTGGCCAAGAATGGCGGCGGCTTCCCGTCGGCGGGGACCCTGGCCTCTCTGCCCTGCATAGGCAGCCTGCCTGGTCTGTGAGGCCCTCCTCCACCAAGGGACTGATGGTCCCTCACTGTCCCATGGTGGCCCGACTGGCCCACCCTCTGCCACAGCCACCCAATGCACACGCAGCCTGTGCCTTGTCACGGGTTTTGCCCTTCACTCATGCCCCCTCCGCCAGAGTCAGGCAAACACGAGGGCCGCACCCTAGCGGCCGCCAGTTCCTTCCACCAGTGCTGCGGCCCTGCTGCTGCCCAGGGATCCAGTGCGCTGTCTCCGGGTGCTTCTCCAACTAGCGACATGAGCAGCGGTGCGGGGACTGGCCACGGCAAAAGGACGACCAAGTGGGACACGAGAGGGTATGCTGCTACAGGGGTCTGGCCAGACATGCTGGGGGACAGCAAGGGAAGACAAGCATAGCCTCAAGTTTGTCACAGTCACACAGCCGGGAAAAGTGAGGCCTGGGCTGAGTCTCCCGGTGCCACACACACGCGCCCCACAGCAGGGCTCAGCTTCTGCCAGTCTCAGTTCTATTTGGTTTTTTCTTTTGCTTTGAGCCAGGGTCTCGATATGCAGTGCAGGCTGGCCTTGAACTCAGTAGGTACCCCAGACTGGCCTCAAACTCACAGACTCACAGAAATCCTCCTGCCTCCGCCTCCCACGTGCTGGCATGACAGGTGTCAGTCTGAGTTTGACAGAACAAAAGCTGTGATGTTGGCGCTCAGGAAATCTAAAATGACAGGCATGACCCACGATGTGAATGAGACAAGCAAAGCACTAAAAGTGCTCAAGAGTTGCTGGGTGTGGTTGTGCACACCTGTAATCTCAGCACTGGGAAGGCTGAGGCAGGAGGATCGTTGCAAGTTTGAGGCCAGCCTGAACTGCAGAGCGAGACCCTTTCTCAAAAAGGCAAAAAAAAAAAAGTGCTTGGAGCAAGAACCAAGGAGCTAGACAGGTAGTACAGGAGCTGGCAGAGAAGGACCTCCTCCCTGTGTCCTTGGAGCCCCCTTCATTGTGTGTTCAGTGACAAAAAGGACTCCCTGCGGAGTGTGGAGAGGAATGAGCCTCTCCTTGTGGGATCCCACTAGGAACAAGCGACAGGAGACAAGGCACAGAGGACGCCACTGCCCACCTCAGGAGGCCAGGCCACCCCCACGGGCAAGGGACACTGCAGGGACAGGCCCAGTCCAGTCTCAGCCCCCATGCAGACCAAGCCTTTGTCCTGGTGCCAGGGTTCAGGTCCCTCTCATCCTCAAGCACCTCATACACCTTATTTCTATTGATGTCTTTACTTTTTGAGACAGACTCTTGCTATGTAGCCCAGGCTGGCCTTAAACTCTCTGAAGTCCTCCTGCCTCAGCCTCCCAAGTGCTGGGATGACAGGCGTGGGCCACCACACCCAACTTTCATACACTTTGGCCACCCCCAGCCTGACAGTCAGTGATAGCAGGGACCTAGTGAGGCCCTCGGCCCAGCCAACCGTCCCGTTCTGGCCAATAGCATCCTTCATTGCGAGGCTGCCCCACCATGGTACTCAGGGCCGCTGCCCCACCAGAAAGGCTCAGCCCTGGGTCCCAGCCCAAGGCACCACACGCTGGGCCCCAAACTGCAGCCTGGGATGAGGGGGCCACGGGAGGATTCGGCACCCAGAGACAGACTGGGGCCAACAACGTGGATGTGGGCACAGCGCCACCTACTCAGGGCTGGGGCAAAAAGTGCAGAGGGGACATGGAAGGGACTCGGCTGAGAAGGAGGGACAGGAGGGTCTTGAAGCTGTCCTTTATTCATAGTTTCTGTTGTTTCCTTAGTGCATGCTTGGGAACATAGTGCTGACCTTGCCTGGGCAGCCGGTGTGCGTCCCCACACATCCCCTTGCCTCCCGCCTATCTCCGTCTTGCTGCATCTCGGGGCCACCTCTGTTCCCGCCTAGCAAGCGCTGGCCCTGTGGCTGAGCCCCACAGTTCCATGAATGGGCTCGGGAAGACCCACACGTGGGCAGCTCAACATCCAGATTTTCCTTAGAAGCTAAGGGCACGAGTGCGTGCCTCGACTCAGGCCACAGAGGGAGGCTGGGGCAGGGTCACATGTTGGAGCCCAGCAACTTAGGGACACCCGGTCTCCACATGAAAAATGAAGACGGGCTGGGAGGGAGCTCACTGAGAAGGCCCTGAACCAACCCCAGCACAATTACGGAAACCTGTGCAGGAGCCCCTCACTCTCTGTCTCTGCTGGGACTTGGCCTGGACTTTCCATGGCCGCCGCAGCCAGAGGGAGGGTGTTCTGTACACCAGGTGCCCTGGAAGGTTGGGAAGAGTGCTCACTGCACAAGGACACTCCCTTACAAGGGAGAGGCCTCACTACTGTGCCCTCGCCTGCCCTGTGCCCAGCGGAAAGAGCAGAGCCTTTGGCCGCAGGGCACACGGGCCTGCAGGGACTCATGGGGGCCCCAGGAAGCTCTGGCCACCAAACTCATCATCCTGCTGGCCCACCCCACTGGCAGAGAAAGAAAGCCCCCCTCTCCTGCCTGAGGGAGGCCAAGGGCCCGGGGACAAAGCGATGGTGAGAATCCAAAAATCAGGGGTGGGGACAGGAATGGGGACAGGGACAGGGACAAGGATGTGGGTGTCTCATGGCCATGGACACTCTGATGGAAAACTTCCCTCTGCCAGGTGGGGAACAAAGTCCCCAGGACGGAGCAAACTCAAACTCGCCCTGTGTCACACTGAGGGATGGGCGGGAGCCGTGGGCACACCTGGAGCAAAGCCAATCTCCTGGGAAGGCCGAGGCAGGAGGGTGGGAATGTGGCACAGCCACCCCTGGAGGTGGGCATGCACACCAGACTTAGGCGTGGTCACTAATGTGAGCGCTGAAAACCATGGACGCTGAAGCCTTCTGGTTCACCCCCAGGCTCAAGCCCCCCACGCCACGCACTCCCATTGGTTATCCTCCACCCCATCCGGGAGGGGAAGGGGTTTGGTCACCCAGAACCCAGGGCCTCCCCAAAGCCGGTGAGGAGCTTGGATGCTCCATGTGGCTTCCCCCAGCCCCCTCTGCCCCACGAGGAAGTGACGTCGACCTGGTGAAAGGGTCAGAAGCAGATGGGTGGCTCTGAGGGAACAGAGCAGCACACAGAGGGTGCAAAGGTGTGACGGAGCTGAGCTCTGCAGCCCAAAATCAGGAGGCAGTGGGTGGCGCAGTGCTTCGGCAGCCATCCACGTGCACACTCTCCCTGTGGTCAGCACCAGCAGCATCAGAGGAGACCTCTGCTCGGGACCAGGGACCCTAGCGTCAAGCAACACCCCCACCCCACTGCACCAAGGTCTGGACCCAGGGCTGGCCCCCCGCAGGCTCGGGAACCAGAAAGGAGGTGCCCACAGGAGAGGCCCGAGATGAGGGGCCTGTGTCCCGCAGCTCAGGGCCGTGGGAACCGGGACAAGACCAGCCTGCCATACGGACAGGAGGAATCCCTAGTGGTCTTGTAGGCCAAAGGTGGTGCTGTGACAGGTGTCACCACACTTGGTGCCAGCAATTCCGTCCGTTATTGTGTCCTGGGCCCTGCGGTGGTGATGGTAGGGTCCTGGCAGCCAGGAGGGAGCACCTCGCGGGACCCCCAGGTGGAGAGCAACTCAGGTCCATGTCTGTCCCTGTCAGCAACAGATGGGACAACAGGAAAACAGGCGCGGAGGGTCCTCAAGGCAACAGAGGCAGCCCACAATCCTGCTGAGTGAGGACTCAGCGGCCAGCGCCCTCGCCTCAGCACAAGGACCTTCCCGGGCAGCAAACCACGCCCACGAGGGACACAGCCCACGATGCGCTGCAGGCAGAGCACACAGCTCGGTGCCCTGGAAGAGAAGGGACAGCAGCAGAGCCAGGAAGAAGGGGACACAGAGCCTGTCCTCTGACCCCCACCTCTGCTGCCCACGCCGCGGGGACACGGAGCCACACGAGGGGACGGGGAGGGCGTGGCTCGGCAGGCACGCGGCCTCGCCAGGGGGCTCCGCGGGGCTTAGGAGAGTAGAAAGCACAGGTGTCACCCGGCGTTCACCTGGAGGACGGCAACCCG